TGGTATCGATAATTCGGTATTATGAAATTGAGTACTGGTTTTGCTATACGCGACTGTAAATGTTTATTTTTATATATGCAACTTATTTTATAAACATTAGTTTTTTCAGCGGAGGTGTAGCTTTGTGCTTAACTTTTATTTTGTTGTCGGGTTTGTTAGTCTAATGATAGCAATTAGCAATGTACTGTCGTAGGTCGATTCCCACCGGGTCCAAGCTCTTTCTAATCAATTTTGTAAGGCTTTCGCGGCCATCGTTCAGTATATTATTGTTTTTCGGGGTGTATAATTATACGAGCAATCGAGGAACCAACATCTCCTGATGATGTTGTCCGCTCGTGATGGCGAAACGTCAAGTAACTCTTCTCGCTCACGTCGGATGAACAGCCCGACAAACAATGATATCTTTCTAATTTATTTATATTTTTTCTGGACTTCGTCTGGACATTAAATGGGTCACGAACCACCGTCCACAGATGGAAAAGCCGTGAAATTTAATTGCATTTCGGATGCAGTCTGTGGATTTCCGAATATCCAAAGTAGGTCGAAAGCTGGAAAAGAAAGGCTGGGCTACTTCACATTTGCCAACGATTTTATGTCCTCCTACGGCGTAAAAAAATGTATTAATACGATTAATTTGTATATATCTCACTATTATAAACAGTAGTATATAATAAATCATGTTGTAAAAGTTTATTTATTACCTAAACTCTAAATGTCAGAAGTCACCACAAAGAAAAACATTCTAGAATTGTATTGTGACATTAAAATTAACAAGCACTCGTCAAAATTTAACGTTTTATAACAATGTACGTACTAGTTGTATTAAACTTCATAATTGGTGATTAAGTTTAACTAATAGTAATATATTTAAATGTGTACTACTCGCGTAAATTACAGATAGTGGTACTTTTTTAATATCGATATGATTTGAATGTGTCAAGAAAATTCTTCAGCGGCCTCGTTATTATGAATTCAGAACGAATTAGATATTCGTAGTATTTATAACCTGTGGGTAGGTCCCATTAAAGACGGTTTCTAGATTTTCCAGTTTATTTTATTTCCTTGAACTTTCTCTTGAATTTATGCAGTTCTAAGGTTAATCGAATCTACGCGTCGATTAAGTTTTTAAACTTAGTTTAATGCATGTATTTACCTCTATAGTTTAACTGATTTTTCAAATAATGTACGCGAGTCGAACGAATACAAAAATTTGATATCAGTGTTGCTTAGTGAACATTTTCATTACATTACGTGACATTGTAGATGATGACATTATAAAAATTAAAAATATATTAACATTGATACCAGACGCGATAGCTCAATTGGTTATAGCAGCAGCACGGAACGCTGTGCACGCCAATTCAAGTCCCGCACGTTTCGTTAAATTTTTCAATTTAAATAGTTTTTTAATTTAAATTCTGTTGTATTTTATACCTAAGCGAAAGACTTAACAATGTTGTTTTGTTTGTATTAATATACTAGCAATTGTACAGGTATACTAGCATACTGTAAGTAAGTTAATAAATTTGTACATAAGAAACGTTCTTTCGCCTTTAAACAATTACTTATACTTTAGGTAACTTACTCAAACAAGTATTCTTTGTATTCTATTGGGTAATAAGAACTGCAAAAATATTTACCCACCGTATATTGACAGAAGATTATTTCAACTCTGAAGGAAATGTTAAACTACTTATTTCTACTAAGTAATATTATTACGTAGTTTGCATAGGATATACGTAATACGTTACAGTTATAATTTTTCGTACAGTTACCCGTTAAGTAGGTACTTAAATAGTGCTGTTGGATAATTCTAGGAACAGCGAATTTCTAGTGCAAATTTTTTTTATGACAAACAGACATAGCAATTACTTGGTAGAAGAAAATATTAGCTCTATAACAATTAATATAATCTGTCGTGATATTGTGGAAATTCGAAAACATACAGACTATATTATATTATATATAAAATACAGACTATACTACATTATATAGAGTATACCAAAACGCGTTCGAATTTTACACTTGACGGCTTTTTATCTGTGGTAGTTTGTGACATGAACGGATTTTTGATACGCCATGAACCAAAGATCTTTTAGTTATTACCTAAGCAGAGAGAGATAAATAAATGTATTTACCACTACTATAAGCCACACAAAACATAGGCTTACTAGTAAACTAAATTTAAACTAAACAGTATAACTCGATCTTAATTGTATAAAATAAAGTTGTGTGCTGCTACTTGGTAGAAAAGATTCTTACTTAGCTTATATCATTCCCTTTGTTGACCTGAAACTTATTTTTAGAAAGTCCTTAGCGTGTGGACTGCGGTGAAAAAAAAATCGAAAAAATATTTGTTGTGAAAAATCGACTTCAGCTTTCTTCTTGATTCTTTCAAATTCAAATATATGTGAAAACTTAAGCAAATGCCACCCATGCTAGTATAAATAATGCATTTAACTGCAGCATTGTTGTGGTAATTAGCTATTTAGCCCACTTTGGGGTGAAAACATCGAGATTTGTATGCACTTTTGACAAGGGCACGTCATGTATTTGTTCACAGCACACATTTCCTCATAGAATGAGTATTTTAATAACAAGAAACAACTGTTCCGTTAAGCAAGGGGCCGGAGCCTTTAAATTCTATTGTTTTTGTAACAGTTACAAATATATCGTACTTTCTAGGCACGTTGCGAAATTAGTTAATTCTTTTGTGCGATATTTATGCCCTCTTAAAATGTCGTTTGATACACCTGTCACGTAAGTTAGGACTGGAGATGAAACTAGCTGATGGCTGTGGAGTTATGCCAATTTAGTAGCTTTAGTAGTGATTTTGCTAGGATCTACATGGTTAGAGACTGTACGAGGAAACTGTTTCTCCGAACTTTGACCTGTACCAACGTAACATAGAGTAATATTGTTGAAAATAATTATAATGAAAAGGTTTATTCTTAAATACTGTCTGTAGTTTACGTACGAGTAGTACACATTTAAATGAAACACTTTAACGGTTTAATACGCGCAATATTTTAGTTAAACCTGACGTTTCAGATGCTTCGCAGCTGCCGTGGTCACGGGGAGTTATTACAAATGGTAATAAAATATAAATACAAATTAATTTTAATAATTATACTTAAATGTTTTTACTTACAGGACGGTTTTCGTGAAAAAATTAATGAGTATATATTCTTAATTATGCAAGACCAAAATATATTAAAAACTATTATATTTTTAGGTATGTATTTTTAAATATATAAGGAAATATATAAATATACAAGGACAAAAACCACGCTGCGAAATATTAAATCGAGTTAACTGTGAAGTGCCTAAGTAGTTAGTTATATATATCTTCTGTGCTTTGCCGAAACTATCTTTTCCAGAAGTCCAATGTGTCAATCGTAGAACCACGAAAGAGATCCAGACAGAATTTACAACGTATTATTAATCGTATGTTATATAAATACAACGATCATTAAAATTATATGCCATATTAAAATCTAGGATACACAGTTGACATTGAGAAGTTGTATACTGGGTTTTCCTTCATAGCTAGTCAGTCCCGTTTAACCATCCCTTATGAGTCACTTTAATTGCGTTTCCGGTATACATTTTCTCTGTGTAGTTAAGAACATTTATAGATTAAGATTCTCAGGATAGTGTAAGTTTTTTTAAAGAACAAATACCAGAACTACAGTCTTAGGCATCCTCAGCTTAAATCGCTGACACATTATTATTATTTAAAAATCGCAAAATAAATTGAAAAAATGTTCGAGTCGGGCAGGACTTGAACTGGCATCGTCAGCGTTCCGTGCTGTTCAAGTCCTGCCCGAGTCGAATTTTTTTTCAATTTTGACTCGATTTTTAAATTATGTTGTGCCTTCATGTGCAATAACATGTAAAAAATAATAAAAGTTTTCAAACATTATTATTATTTTATTTTGGAAACACCGATAGAATTTTTCACGGGTTCGTTGGTATAATGCTTATAAAATACTGTCTATAGTTTACGCGAGTAGTACACATTTAAATAAAACACTTTAACGGTTTAAAACGCGATATATTAGTTAAACTTATTTGGAAATGATTTTCAACTTCGGCCCGACGTTTCGGATGCCTTGCACAGTCTCCCCTGACCCGGCTGCTGCAAAGCATCCGAAACGTCGGGCCGAAGTTAAAAATCATTTCCAAATAAGAACTAATTTATCGCGTTTTAAACCGTTAAAGTGTTTTATTTAAATAATGCTAATAATCAATGGATCGTGGGTTCGAACCCCACCAGGTCCAACATGTTTCTAATTATTCAATTTATGGGTGGTAGATATAGATAAATTCCGTCCGGGTAACGAATCACCGTCCACAGATAAAAAAGCTATGAAGCCTAACCGCGTTTCGGTTTCAGTCTGTGGATTTCCGAATAAACAAAGTCAATTTAGAGTTAGATGCTGTAGGCTAGGGTATATCACCTACCATCAAGTGAATCCGATGTTCTCCTCATCTTTTGTTGACCATTCCACCCGTTTCCGCCTATGCGAAGAATATCGAGTCATCCAACTCGCACGGAATCCTTCGAATTCCGGTTTCTTTACAAAATCTTATGGTCTGTTCCATCTTTAGTTTTTCGATCTCATCTATTGTTATGTTGTCGCTTTCCATATACATGTGTCTTGGTTTTGAGTTTGAGTTTGGTATGAATATCGCTTTGGTTACAATCTCGGTAGTAAATAAATAAATTGTCGGGCAGGGCACAGTATGATTGATGCCAGCCTGTAATTCAAATTCAACATAGAGACAGATATATTTCACCCATGCTCCACACGTGAAAAGCGGAATTTCATAACATTATATAGGTACATCCATTATCCATGATTATACTCACGCGTCGATTATGTATCGATCATGTTATCTTATCTGTGTATTAATCAAAAATCGCAGCAAAACGATACTGATAATTTACGATTGCCGAACATAATGATTATTTCGCTGGAGTCCAAGTGCTAACCATGTCTGAAAAGGTGAAGAAAAGATCCGGCTTCTTCAGTATCAAGAGGTGGAATAGTCAAAGTGTTGATGAGGGTTACGCTCTGTCTCCAACTCAGGCGCAACCATCTCCTGTGATAAGGCCCCCAATGACCAGGTCTACGTCTATAGATAACAAAACAACCAAGTAAGTATCCATTGGTTATTTGTACTTGCATTATAACTCACTAGATGTGAGAGATGTTTTAGGAGTTTTATAGAAGTCAAAAAGTAAAAAAAATGTTAATGCTTTATTACAACACTTCGTGAAACCACAAAATGTAAATTCAAGTAGTGACCATCTGAATATTATCATTTTCTCTTCATTTGACAAAAATATCATCCATAAAAATACGTTACATATATAAATTAAAACACAACCACAAAGAAGATAAAACAATCAAAATAAATCTAATCAGTGAGGACTAAAAATCAAAGAGCTATTTATTCTAAGGAACAAGAACAGATATTTAAATGTATTTGAAACCGATTTGAAATTTAAAAGAGATGTTACAAATGAACAAAAAATAGATAAGTAACGTATTGCAATAAAACCAATATTATGTTCTATCGAATACGAAGAATCATATAATTCAATATGAGTACCGTATAATTCTCGTTTCAACGTTTAAAAAAGTTATGAGAAATTAAGCAAGCACCAGCTTACTTAATCATTACAATACAATGAAAGTGAAACAGTAAAAGGAAAAATTGCTTTACTTTCTGCAGTCAACATAATACGCGGTGCGTTATCAGAAAGGAATGATTTCAACAACTTTTATCTATTTGTAATATGTTTGCGAAGATAGTTTGAAAACACGTAAGGCTAGTAAACACAAATATTGGTGTAGTATATTATTAATAGTATAGGTATACCACAGCAGCCGACAAGACATTGGATGAACGTGTGGGCCGAGGCGAGTCAAGGCACACACACACGTAAGGCTTTTATGCGTTTCTTATCAAATAATGCGCAAAAATTAAAACTAAGTTATACAATTCAGAACTTTAAAACCAATGACGAAGTTGACGAACAACTATTAAGAATAGGTTTTTTTTTTACTAAACAGCTTTCTATGTGCAAGCCAGTTCGAAATTAAGATTAAACCTTTGATTAGTTACCTCTGGTTGTTGTTGCGGAGAAGATAGTGCCATTTTTAAATTACACGACTAATATGGTTTTCAATATAATGCTCAAATTTGCAAGAATTCTCTAGAAAAAGACATTACACATGCAAAGATGCAAAATGTATCCCAAGTGGGTACTTTGTCATAATATAAAGCGAAGAAACGCAATAAAACATCAATAAAAAAGCTTTTTATTAACATGTATTTGCTATATCCGAAAATAAATATCATATAATAATACTTACATCAAATGTTAGTTATCTGTGGCGAGAAACATGGAGTACTTCAACTGGTAGTATTTATTTTAAACTAATAAAGGAAAATTAACGTTCAAACAAGCCATAGTTTCGGAATATAGGCTGAATACTTATGTTGTCATTTAACATATCTACACTTAAAATTGTAACTTGTTTGTTATACTATTGGTGAAGTAACAAGATCGATAGTCAAATTAGTATTTTTACACAAAAGCCCTGCGTTTGTGTCTTTAGCTCTTTTAACTTTGTGGAAGCAAAGGCGCTGGCAAATGCTTGTATATTAATAAAGAGGTTATATATTACTGTCCTACCTCCAAGTAAAGTTTGTGACCTCCTCATACATACAACGGAATAAAAAACGTACAGGGAAAGTTGAAGGCGCCTGCATTATGCGAAAATCTTTGTAAATTTCTGCCAACTGCTTTTTAAAAGCCTACATTTCACTGTTCACATTAACATCACGTATGTGTACGTTGAATGAATAATTCTGAATTTAAATTGATAAATACGCATGTTCAGCTATAACTTAAACTTAAATCGACAAAAGAACAAATTTATACGATAAAGCATTTGTTTTATTCCCATAAGCATTTTTTTTAAATATATTTGATACGAAAATGGTCTTATATTGTATGTTTACCATTTTTTGTCTAGTTGCCATTTCATAAAATTAATTGGCAAATAAAACTATCTGAGTTCAATTTCACTGTGACAGAGAACAAACAAACAACAACAAACATAGATCACTTATAAAATGTGAATCCCCCCCCCCCCCCTTTATTTGGCTGCGCTTTACACATTTAAGAATCCACAGGCTGAATCCGAGACGCGAATTTCATTTCGTTTCCACTCATTTAATGCCCAGAAAAATATAAATTAATTAGTAACACATTGGAACCGGTGGGGCTCGAGTCCGTTCATTACTAATACATCGATCCCGCCAATGTTTATTGTTCCATTAGCCGTTTAACACACTTAGATACGGGTCTCCTAAGAAGGTAACCTACAACGATGGTCAGATAAGCGTTGGTAGACATGTCATCTATATCGAAATTTTGGTTTTAAACATTCGTTTTGAGATAACGAAAGCCTCTTGTATAAATATTTTGTTGACATCTTGGTGATGCTTTGGTGCACGAAAATCAAACTGCCCTCACAAACGACCAATACCAATTACTGTGTACTATATGTGTAAGGAATATTATTACTAGAGATACGCCGAGTCGAGTACGAGTTTTACTCGGCTCAATTTTTTTTCGACCGAGTAACTAGGTTAATAATAATAATAAACACTTTTGGATTAACACAGTTGATTTAATTATATATATATCTCAATATATTGCTTTAAAAAGTATACTCAAATAGCAGTATTATAATAGTATTATCAAATAATAAAGTATAACCGAGTTATTTGCCAGTACGAGTTTCAAGAAACCCGATTAGTACGCAGAGTCACCGAGTACTCGGCCCATCTCTAATTATTACCCTTTACTTAATAGTGAATATCTACATATTTTTCAGACTACCAGCAACAGGAATCAACGATTTAGTGCAATGTTCTCTATGCTTGGAGATTCTCAACACGCCGAAGATGTTGCCCTGCCAACATACATTCTGCTTAGCCTGCCTCAAAGTTTATGTTGCCGGTATATAATGACATTTATTATTTAATAAGGCTGATTTGAAGATTTTTAGTGTTGTTGAAAAGTAGGAGAATTTAATAAAACACTGTTACCAGTTTAAAACGTGAAATATATTGGATACATTTTGTATCTATGACCACAGCTACGACCATCCAAAACGTCGTGTTATAGTTAAGAATTCAATATTACTTCATACGTGTATTATCGTAAACCATGCTTAAATTAGGAGAAATTATTTGTGGATCATTTTTCCAGATCTCGCTGTGTTCAGTTGCCCAATATGCAACACTCGGATCCAAGTTAACGGTCCTAACTTCGTGGATGAACTACCCTCAAATCTGTATATAGACACCTTACTTCACATGGTCGGTATGAAGACAGATAAGACGACTCCAAACGTGACGCCACCTACCACGCCAGCTAGCGCGTCAGGTTATCAAAAAGTGGATCTGTTTGCTTCTGGAATAAGGTGTACCAGTTGTAAAACCATGTGCGATAATTCAGATACCTCTTTCTGCGAACATTGTAAATTGGTTAGTACCGAGATCTATTTCTAACTAGCTGTGTCAGCGACTTCATCCGTGAGAATCATCATTTTGGTCATCCACATTCGTTTATGCAAACCCCTTCTTCTTTATAAACTGAACTGTTACCCTTCCCGTCGTTCTTTCAAGTTAATCATAAAAGGTAGACATACAGCGGAATCATTATTTCATACATATTTTATCTTAAACCGTTTTTGTAGCGTACGCGTCGGAGATCCCTTAACCATGAATAATTTTCCCATTTTTTTTAGATTTCTCGCTGTATCTACGCTTGTATAACTCACTGGGCGATTTTTTAAATAAATATAATATGCTCTAACCAATACAAAAACGATTTTTTATCCTGAGATTAGCACGTTCAAATATACAGAGAGACTAACAATCTTTATATATTAGTATAAATGTGATTGCTAAGAATTGGTCCTTCGAGCCATCCTCGATGGATTTATCGGAGGACGAATTCTTTAATTTTTCCAAATTTCCTGTAATTTTCAGAACTTCTGCTTTGTCTGTTGGTCGCAACATTTAGAAGATTTGCGGATACAAGTAGGGTCTATACTGAAGCAGCTTGAAACAGCAGCTAGTCGATTGGATCACAAAATAGAACATTATAAGGTACAAATTATCTCATCGTTATCATTTTTCAATGACTTAGAATGAAATTTAATGTCTATTTTTTATAAAACCAGGATCGCTGCGAACATATAGTTGAACAAATCAATTTGGCTGCTGAAGAGAAAATCAACGCTGTACTTGAATCTAAATCGAGTCTCCTTCAAGAGATGACAGATTTGCAGAAATCTGGGGACATGGCAGCTCTTGCTCTACAGTCGTCGCTCAATGAAGCGAAAGAAGTTGCTAAAAAGGCTTTAGAAAATAAAACAGATGATAGCGATGAAATGAAAAAGGTTTGTATATGTCTTCAGTTATATGTGTATAAAATAATGTGCAGACAGAAATAACATTAACAGCTCTAGGAGAGATATTCGTCCTAACGCACCTCATAGCGAACGATGAAAAATTTGCTAGTGTTGAAATTAATATATAGTTTTCAATACACTTATGTAAACAACATTAAAGATATATTAACGATGACGACACGCTGATATAAAGTGATAAGAATAGGCAATACTTTTCTTATCGTAAATAATCACAAAGTAATGGCCGCGAGCGGTCTTATCAAAAATTTTAGCGCTAATTTTGACAGATTACTCGTGAAAATACCTCAAAATATAGATATTAAATTCTTAAGCCTAAAATATCTAATGAGGAACAACTATTCGATTAAGACAATAAATAATTATAGACGATTAAAATTGGATTATCCCTGTATATTTAATCTAAAAGTCTTTTAATCACAAATAGGTAGTCGTTTTACTGTTATTAGTTCGTTTTATGATAGAGGATGACAGATAAGCTTATCTGTTGGGTTAACTTGATCTAAGCAAGATGCGCTGTCGGCCCATTTTAGAAACTAAACCGTTGATAAAACTCGACGTCTTTTACATCTGTGTATTGTGGTTTGTGACCCGGACGGTATTTTAATATTCCTACCACACATTTAATATTCCAGACAACATGTTTCAGAAAAATGTTTGACTTGGTGGCGATCGAAGCCAACTATCGAACCCTTGATTATTAACCATACATTGCTACCATTATACCAACGAACCCGTAGAATTACGTTATATAATATTGATTTCAAACAATTCATGGTTTATTATTATAATCAGGTGAGAACCTTCGTGAATCTACACCAGAACACACTACAATTGCTTAGTGATGTATCAAAATGGGACGCGGAGAATTTTATATTTGACAAGGAGAATTTCCGTATCGACTCCGACATCACGACCCCGTGTGATGCAGAATCCGATGAGCCATTACCAGCAGCTGCGAAACAGCATAATCCTCTGGAAAGTGAGAGTAGTTTGATGCAACATTACAGGTAATTCATACTTTGGATCTTCTCTCTTGAATGGTATTTTGCCTTATTTCGGCGTAGTTATACATCGATTATAAATAAAAAAATACGGCACGAGCATGGCTTGAATCGGCATTTTCAGCGTTTACCACAATAGCTCAATTGGTTAGACCAACAGCACGGAACGGTTGTAAATTTTGAATTCATAATCGATTTTTAATTTATATAGTCCTATGTTCTACCACAAGTAAAATATATTACCGTTTTCAAATGTACTAAGTTCTAAAGAACGATAGACTACTTGTTTAAATAGATCCGACAAATATTTGAAGTAGTTCCAAAACACACTTAATTATATTTGATTATATTGTTATCGACGCATGTTGAACAATATGGAATATTTAAATAAAACACTTTAACGGTTTAAAATGCGATATATTAGTTAAACTTATTTGAAAATGATTTTTAACTTCGGCCCGACGTTTCGGATGCTTTGCAGCAGTAATAAGTTTAACTAATATATCGCGTTTTAAACCGTTAAAGTGTTTTATTTAAATGTGTACTACTCGCGTAAACTATAGACAGTATTTAATATGGAATAAATAGATACTCTATTTATTCCATATTATTTTTCCAGATTTAATGAAAAAAAACAGACTTATTACTTGACAATAAGTCGGTATATCTATGTATTTTTGTGACCACGGTTGGCTATATCTTAGATCGCTTTATGATAGAGTAGGACTGACAATCATGGAGTCGTTGGAGGGTGAAATAAAACATCTCAATAAGGTGCACTGTCGCAACCAAAACGTAATTAAACTTGACTGCTTTTCATTTGTGGTGGTTCATGACCCAGACAGTTTTCGATATTCCTACCACGAATTTAATTGCCAGATTTCCACAGTCCAATATGTTTCTAATTAACGGGTTCACCCAGGATCCGCTGATTATAAGCTACCATTGATTATATTTTGCTACCATTGACTAACACTTGTGTTATAAAAAACTTTTTAGGTCACGAAACTTTTTACCTCATTACGTTTGGCGCAAGACGGCGAGACCGTGCGGCGTTGGTATTAGCCCCTGGAATAATCACCTGTACATCTGTGATATGGACAGCCACAGTGTTCTCGTTGTGGAACGGACGCAGGCCAAAATAGTAATGAGACTATCATGCGAACAGATGTTGTGTCCAGTGCAAATCGCTTTCATGAAGAGCTTGGGAGAAATCTATGTAACAGGTCAAGAACAGCTTTATATCAGTATATATACTATCTTTAAGATTGTAGTATCTTATAAATTAAACTTCCATTGAGAAACGCGCTAATTGAATTAAAGAAACGACGACACACAGTAGCTCAATTGTTAGATAGAGCAGCAGAACGGACCGCTGTAGATGCACGTTTAAGACCTGCCCGTGTTTTTATTCAATCTAAACAGATTTAAATAAGTCACTTGTTTTGGTTTCAAAATAAAATCGAATAATTTTTTTGCAGTCCCCATTGATCACCGCCGCTGTAAAGCGCCCGAATCGTCGAGCCATAATTGAAATAAATTAAAAATAAGTTAACTGATACAGTACTATTACTTACTACTGTATAGGTTTTATACCGTTAAAAGTATATAAATAGATTTAAACGAAACAATTAATGACACGGGCGGGTTTTAACTAGGTTATCCGTGCTGCTACTCTAACAATTGAGCTACCGTGTCTCGTTCCTCTCTCATAGAATTTCTTTAACCATTACATGTATCTCTCGCGTAAAGTAAAATCAGCCTTATCACTTATGCTTAGCAGTCTAAGAAAATCATGATAAAATTCAATAAATTAAATTAAACCTTTTTAAATAAAACACTTTAACTGTTTAAACGCGATATATTTTATTTATTTGAAAATGATTTGTAACTTCGGCCCGACGTTTCAAATAAGTTTAACTACTATATCGCGTTTTAAACCGTTAAAGTGTTTTATTTAAATGTGTACTACTCGCGTAAACTATAGATACTGAGTATTTAAATTAAACCTTTCTTTATTTAGACAAATGGAAGCACTGCATCCATGTGTTCTCAAAGGACGGCGAACACATCACATCGATAGGCCAAAAAGGCAGCCGCTTAGGGATGTTCCGGTCTCCCGAAGGAATAGCCACGGACAATTCAAAGCATCATATCTATGTCGTTGATACAGGGAACGATAGAGTTCAGGTAATTAAAATCACTGCTTACCTAATATATATTTATATATTTCTACATTTGAAAATTTTAATATTTTTCACATGATGGCATTAAATAACTTAAAAATCTATTCAGATTGTAAAAAAAAAATACAAATTTCCTTTACGACACTATAGCTCAATTGATTAAATCAGCAGTCCGGAACGCGGTGGTGTTTAAGTCCCAGTCCTGTCGTAATTTTTTTTATAATCCAAATAGATTTCTTGAGTTATACATTTCTAAATAAAAGACTTAGTTTTCGTAGTAACGCGAACTACGTTAGTTACGTTTATATGTTATGTCTAAAAAATGTTTTATTTATAATATCTAATCATATTAGATATTCCATGATGCCGTTAAGACCTGGTTCTAGATCACTTCTTTTACAAATTTAAATAATATTTAAAAGCATAATTTGCAATACATTCATTAAACTAAAACGATATAAATCCCAAGATATAGCCTAGTAAGTAGGTACAACAAAATTTTTAGTCCGTTTGGGAGAATCTTCCTTTACAATACTTACCTTCCAGGTCTTGGAACCAAACGGCAAATGTGTGGATCAATTCGGTGTCGCCTTACGGTCTCAGCCAAAAAACACATCAAGCATCTGGGTCATGAAGGAAACTATGTGCACTGAATTGAACGCGCCAACGGCAGTCGCAGTCACCAATGACAGGGTCATCGTCCTGGACAGCGGGAATCGACGAGTCAAAGTCTACAACAAACATGACAAGAACAAAATCGTGGAGTTCGGGGCTATGGGCCAACGGAAGGGGCAGTTCAGGCAGCCAGAAGTCCTCGCTGTAGACCCCATGGGCTATATCCTGGTGGGCGATTCGGGCAACTGCCGCATCCAAGTCTTCAAGCCCAATGGACAATTAGTTCGCGTCTTCGGCAGGTTAGGGACTGAACCGGGACAATTCGGATGGATTTCGGGTATACACGTAACTAAACAACTAGATGTTATAGTGAGCGATACTAAGAACCATTGTGTTAACTTCTTTTGATTGGTATAATTTTGAGTTATCGTTTTTTATGTATAAATTCATATTTATTTAAAATCGGTCAATAATTGAAAAAAATTAACACTTCCGTATTAAGGTTCAAACTACATTGCGCGCGAGGTGTATGTATCAATTGGTTGAAAACATTCGCCGATGACCTGTAGGACGCGTGTAGGTCAATTGGTTAGAGCAAAAGAACTCTTTTGGATGCTTCAAGTCCTGCATGTAATTTTTTCCAATTTATAATCGATTTTTTATTTATAAAGTGCCATCATGTGAAAAATTTTAGAATTTTTAAATATTATAGTCGAGTCAAATTAGACTTTTAAGCTTCCAATAATTCCCATAGAGCTAAAAATTGGTATCACGCTTCAAAATAGATGATTTATGAAAAGCCCCCATCAACCCCTCTTGTCCAACTTTTTTTATTGATCGTGCAAGTTTGCAAAAATAGCTTTCTCGCGTTTTTCAGCTAAACGGTAAGTTTTACAGTAATTTGACTGGACTATTAGGCATTTTTATGAAATAAAGACACAGTAAGTTTCAACAGAATATATTGTGTAAATGAAAATGTTAGACCTCTAAATAAATGAAACTAATAAATACATGAGTTGATTCACTTAAATGTTACAAAATATCACAAGGATTCAATGAATCACAGAAATGTACTTACGAAATATTAGCACTGATAAGACTTAAAAACAAAAGCACTAACATTTATGCCCCACAGTCAGAAAACGTCCCTACTTGAATATTTTCTGTAGTTTTCATATTTTTGATTGGTAATATGGCTCCACTACAATTGAAAGCGAATTTAAGAGGCTACATCTGGCATTTTATGAAGATTCTACAACACAATTGTAAAGATGAAACAAACTTTTTTTTCAACTCTGTTATTTTCGTACCTTAATTAGAGAAATAACACAAAGCGCTGTAAGACCATGTTCCGCTCATGTCATTAATGTTAGAGAAAATAATTCCTTGATATAAAATAAGGGGCAATACATACCAAGCGGTTAACCGCAATCAAAAACATTAGTGGGACGCAGTGACGGTAAACAGCTTAGTTCAGTTCTCTCCAAACTTTTTGGTCGTGCTGAAGTTGGCCATCTTGCGCATGATACTGTCAATTTTAAGCAAAAAGTCGAATCCCCCCATACCCGCACTCCCCCTTTGTCGCAACTGATACCTGCTTTTGCGTTCTGCACAACCAGTCGCGCTAACTTCAGCCCGGCCAAAAGGTCTGAAAAGCACAGTACGTAGCGGCCCAATTTTTCGATTTTTTGGCATGTCACCTGAATATAAAGCTAACAGCGGATGTGGACTGTTAAATTTGACAAGACTTACGTGAACTCTAATCGCCGACCTATATACAATGAAAACTACTGGCCATATATTTATCATAGCCCGTGTACAGAAAGTCTAAAATTAGACGACACTAATTTTTAATCATGATACATGCCTTATCAAAAAGAGAAAGTCTACGAACATACAATTCTACTTTACACGAGACTGCTGCCTAAGATATAAGTCTAAACATAGAGATTCCCATACAAAAACCATATATAAAAATACTTGGTGTTGTAAGATCACATGAGATTGAAAAGATAAGACGGTGTCGTGTTTGTCTCTATACAAAAACCAAGCGAAGTAAAAATAACCGTTAAAAATTGACTAGTAATGGACAGTCTTTGTTTTTATAAAAGACTTCAATACTAATAAATCAATTTAATCAGAAACTACATATAAAAATACATTATCCGAAATCGAGGGTAGTTGATAATAACCATATCACCTAATGTAAGTGAATAGTTTAGAAAAGCCAAATTAAGAAATAATTGGGAAACTATTTCATCATACTCCTATTTTTAGGTCTAGCGTTTGGGCGAGCTAAATCTAAAGCTATACCTAACTTAGCTTAAGCTAAATAATAACTTAATATAGCACTGGTGAAACATAAGTAGTTATAAAAATATATATATTACGTTTAAGTATAGTAGATGCATACAAAACAGATTTACTTTAATAGTATTATGGCGTATTTCAGTCTCGACTAGATAATACGATTAACAGTACTAAAATACAAAAGTACCAGAACAATTTTCATCAAAAAATACACAAGTCTATAGCGTAAAACTAGCATAAAAATATAATGGCGAAATTAATACTGCTAGCAAACTAAAAAAATAAAATGAATAAGTATTTGATTTAAAAAAAATTGTGATTTAATAACTCGTGTCTTGATATAAACCTTATAGCAGAAACTACCCTCCTAATTATAATTAGTATACTAAAGGCCTACTATTTATTATATCTAGTGAATTAAATATTGTTGTTCCAATTTCCCATCTTGAAGTATTATCTTATATTTTATTTATTAGTCACTTGAGATTAGCTCTCAAGAAAACGAGACAAAATATTACCTAAATATGGAAAACGTTAAATCATCTCCACATAAAAGAGCACAGAATTTATTTTTTAGTTTTGTTGCCCTGTTTCCATGCAATTATATTTTAACTAAATTTTATAGTAAGTAAGACTTGTCTGTATTGACATACGCGACTTTAATATCAGTTTTAGAATAAAAACCTATTGTAAAGATGGCAAGACTGCGAGATACAGATTATTTTCTGTCTATATAAAAAAAATGTAAGAGAACCAAAATGGCTTTGTAATGCTTTGTCTTATATATTTCACTTGAAAAGGACAAAACATACAATAGTGACATATAAGTATGATTGATAGCTTAAAGGTTATGTGAACACCTCTTAGACATATTATATACTATACCTTAACAAGACTCGTTATTCGTTCTAAATATACAATAGAATCATCTATTTTTAAACATTGGCTATATTTGTGACAAGTTATCATAAAACAAGACAATATACAGATCCTCATAGCCATACACAGTACGATGGGTTGTTCATTTATATACAAAAAAGACCTACTGACTAAGAACGGCAAGGTTGACACCTACTGCTTACTGAATGGCTTTCTCCTAAGATAACAGCACCTGTATCAGCTGGAGGACCTTCACTACTATCGTGCAGGCGCTGAAATATATAAAATCTAAAGCTTAATGATTTGTGATATTTTAATAAATAGTAACATTGAAGGTTTAAAAAATTGCCTTATTGCAAATTATAATAGTTTTTTTTTTAATACTATGACCTACGAATAGTCCCACAGATGTAATTTTAATGACATCTAAAAGGCTCGGAGGTGAGGGCAGCTAGTATTGGCCCTCTTGATTTGTTGATGTGCATGTCATGTAACAACTCAATCAACAAACCGTTCTAAGTAAATAATAAGTTTGTAATACCTAGTCCTAATTTATTGCACCATCTTATTTATATTATATATGTTTCTTGTTCTTAGAAGTCTTATATATTAAATCACATAATGCAAATTCAAATCTTGGCTTATCCTTTATATAACAAAGTATAATTAAATTAAAGTACAAACAGGATTAGAAGTTGAGTTCAGGAAATTCACTTAGCATAGTGTTAAGAAATGTGATATTACCTTCAATTCTGTAGCTAAATCATAAAAAGTGTCCTCCACATTTGTGTTGTCCTTTGCTGAAGTCTCCATGACAAACATGATCTCCGGGACATAGCGACAAAAGGATTTCGGCTCCTCTGGTTCTACTTCCCTCTGATCAGCAAGGTCGCATTTGTTGCCAATTAATGAGACTATAACATTTGATGATGTGTATCTTTTCACTTCCTCTATCCACTTTTTTAAGGATAAGAAGGTTGACCTCTTGGTTATGTCATACACTGTAATTTAGGAACTCTGTTTAAGTAATTACTCTTATCACCTATAATTTAATTAAAAGAGTGACAGACATACTTAGAAATCTTACTAGATAAAAGTTTAGTCAACTTTTTTAAAGTAGATTAAAAAAAAAACCTATACACTGAAGAACTACTTCACATTACTAGATTGATTGATTATATTATTAAAAAAAATTACTAGTATATAAAACAATATAACAAAAGACATGAAAATTAAAACTATCAAAACCTGAGAAAACTGCAGTACAAAGACTACTTGTTAAGCCTTATAGCAGAAACTACCCAGGAGGGTTATAATACATATATTAAAGGCCTTGCATGAAATAACTGTTGAGAAATTTGATGATCACTGACATGATGCCTTAGTATTTATTATTAAATATATTGGTAAAGCATAGATGTTGGTGAGGAATTTTAATCCAACCTCTTTAATCAATTCATAAATTTTAATTTTAAATTTTAAACATTTAGTTTTGATGACACAGAACCATTATAAGATATGCAAAGTGAAAGGAATCCTTGTCCTATTCACTGTATATAACATCTGTGGGCGGATTACATACATACCTATTATAACTCCATTTGCAGACCTATAATAACTCTGTGTTATAGTCCTAAATCGTTCCTGGCCAGCAGTATCCCAAATTTGAAGCTGAAATAAACATAGAAATAATGATATCCTGTTTTCGTTACATACTGAGGCACATTACATGGAATTTACTTGTAGATTTTGACAGACAAAGGCTTAACAAAATACAATGTTAGGCTAAGATTTGTATGTTTGTTTGTAATACAGACAAATCATTCAACATTGGCTCAAAGAGGCTGTCTACTTAAATTTAACTAATAATGCATATATAACATAAATCAATTCCAAATACGTCATAAATATTATTTTAAACTAATTTTGTATTTTTTTGCAATTATCATTAGAGATAAAAGTTAAAATATAACTTAGTACAAGTACAACTATTAAAAACGAAATATACCCCTAGCTCTATTATCAATCAAAGTCAGGGACATTACACTTCAAGTTAAGATAATAGTTCTAAAAATTTCTAATACCTTGACCTTCTTCCCGTCTATAATTAGTGTTTTCATTGAGAAATCCACGCCTATTGTGTTACCGTGTCTTTCAATAAAATTTCCAGATTTTAATCGCTGCACAATGCATGTTTTTCCAGTTCCACAGTCACCGATAAGAACTATTTTAAATAAATAATCAAACTGTTCGTCCGGTACGTGCATTAATGTAGTTGGATTTCTGCTGCCCATCTTAAAATTGGGTAGGATAATACCCAAGAGTATTAAAAATTGTATTTGTGTTTACGTTTTACACACTTGTATCGATGATAACTTAAGCGAAAATGCTAATGACTGACGTTATTGACACTTAACAAATGACAAATGACCAATAATTACTTCCTATAGTATATACTATATTTTTCGTAGCTGGGAAAGGAGGTAATTTGCTTTGTAGTTTTTGCTACGCTGTCAGATTAAAAGACAATTGTCATTGATAACATAAAAAAAAACATGAAAACAACTTTTAAAATATTAAGAAAAAACTATTAAGATTATTAGACCATGTTACCAATAAATATATGGCATAGTTTAAAATTACTATTGATTTATTCATTCATATTTGGCGAAGCGTTTGAAGTGAGCATGAAAGAGAATAGATGAATGATGTATATTTTTGTTATTTCATGTATTAAAGTTAAATTACTGTAGATTCCAGATGCATTTCAAAAATCAAATCACACCAATAATTGGGCAGTACTCGTTGATACATCTCGATTTTGGTTTAACTACAGGCATGTGGCAAACGTACTTTCCATCTATCGGAGTGTCAAGCGATTAGGAATCCCCGATAGTCAGATAATACTCATGATATCAGATGATATGGCCTGCAATCCTAGAAACCCGAGGCCGGCGACAATATTCAATAATGCTCATGAACAAATAAATGTATATGGAGATGATGTAGAAGTGGATTATCGAGGTTATGAGGTAAGTACATCTAAATGGTTATTAAGAGATGTTATACTTTGTCAATTTTCCTCGTTTTTAACTGTAGGTAAGTTGTTTATGTTATTATTGTATCCTGCCTAAAGTCAACAAAAGCATTTTAATATGTTGTCTTCCAATACATCTACAACTTCTAACAATTTACTTGCTTGACTGATTAGTATTGGAGTGGAACATCCGCGTGTATCAAAATGAAAAAATACTTGCTTAACTCGATTAAAGACAAAGTACAGATACTGAAAACTGTTTAAACATTTTAGTATCCAGGTATTTTGTTATTACAGGTGTCAGTAGAAAATTTTGTTCGCCTACTAACTGGTAGAGTGCCACCCGATACTCCTAGGTCAAAGAGACTTTTAACTGATGAAGGAAGTAATATTCTGATATATCTTACCGGACATGGTGGTGATGGGTTTTTAAAATTTCAAGACTCTGAAGAAATAACCAGTCAAGAGCTTGCAGATGCCTTAGAACAGATGTGGCAAAAGAGGAGGTATGTATCTTATATATGAAACTTCTTCTGACTCTTAAATTATAAAGATAAGTAGATAATCCTTATATAATTCAAAGCTCTCCACTCAATTAATATTTTACTTAAGTGAACGTAACAATATTACTATTAACTATTAAATTACAGGTACAATGAGATATTTTTCATAATAGACACATGTCAAGCGTCTTCTATGTATGAGAAGTTCTATTCGCCGAATATTTTAGCTACTGCTAGTAGCTTAGTAGGAGAGGACTCCCTCTCGGTAAATATTAAATATCTTTAGTATGCCATTGTATGAACTTGCAACATTTACACCATTCATTTGAAAACTGGTAGTACTATTAATTTACAACCTCCAAACCAAATTTTTATTAATATTTAGTAGTGTTTATAAGCATAGATGATATATGATTGGAAGGTTTATATATTACTATAGTTTTTGAAGATGTGTATTAATTAATTTTATTACATTTTTCAGCATCACGTAGATTCAGCTATTGGTGTGTACATAATAGACAGATACACATATTACGTTTTGGAATTCCTGGAAAATGTGCATCCAAACAGCAAGAAGACCATGTCTGAATTTGTAAGTATTTATAGACATACATAGTAATTTATAGTGATCCATCATTCCTTAACAAACATTTTCATAACAGCTGGCGGTTTGCCCTAAACATGCCTGCATTTCAACTGTGGGCGTACGTCGAGATTTGTTCAAGAGAGACCCAAGCAGAGTACCCATCACCGACTTCTTCGGCTCGGTTAGACCAGTCATTATCACAACTGACTCCATAGATATTGTTGATATACCAAAGAGAAAGAGTGCCAAGACTGAGTAAGTATATGGTAATAATCAAATGAATGTACACTGTTGTTTTACCTGTGGCACTTATTATATTTATTTTATTACAGAAATACAACAAAATCACAAGGAAAGAGAGGGTACCTGCCTCAGTTTCCCATAGATTTAATACCAAACACAGTATGATTAAATTATTATTTCTAACATGCATATTTTATTTAATTACAAGTTCAGTGAAGTCATTTAAAGGCACTTGTGTAATTACTACAGGTACCTGCAGTGCACCAGGCCCCAGAGCTTAAGATGCCTTGTAACCTCATCTTTGAAAAAAAATCAAGAGCAATAAAAAAAAAAGTAAATGGAAATCTTGTTTCTATCTATAATTATGGAGGTGTACATAAATAAAAAGTACGCGAAAAGAGGCTTTCACTTTTGTCACCCTCACTGTCATAGTTAAATAAAACAAACCCGTTATACTCTTTAATCATTTATTTGTCTATTATACTAAGAATAAAATTTTAACATCAACATAACACAACCACCCCGCAACGGGATCTAAGCAACAAGCACTACGTATACAATAACTTGGAATTAACACAATTACAACTGACAAATATTACTTGATGCCTACCCTATATTTTATTTTGTGGGTAGTTTTATTTTCAGTTAAATGCATTTAAAACCCAAATTATTGTAAACGATTAGTACACTATATGCACACATCTCATTCAGACGTGAGATCAATTTCTAAGAGACTATAGCACCATTCCAGTTTCGTTCATAGGCCATTATGTTTGGTCTATTCCTTCCAACATCTAGATCTAAATAATCTCGTTTGTAAGAATTTGCTATAGAACATACTACGTAGTAAGCGACGATGCTTCGCGATTACAAAATGATCCTAAAAGCCAATTATTTCATATTTCTAAGGAATGCATTTTGGTATTTCAAAGTTCAATTATTAATGAGGTTTAGATCAGGTAGAGAATTTAAAAATTGTTTTAAAGAAATTTAAGATTAAAGTAGCGAAATTTTTATATATGAAACACCTTGTACAACATAAGTTTCACAATCTTAGGAAAATTTTAGTCTTGTACTGAAGGTACACTATACAAAACTTGACGGTAGTTAACATATTCTAGTTTCATAGTGTAAGTGTTGTTTTCATATAATTTAATAACAAGCCTAATTTCCTCTACTCTTATTGAATTATCTCTTATGTACAAATTATTAAGATTTTATTAATTATGTAGATTCTTTGTTAATTTACTATTGTTTAAATATCTTAAAAAGATTTTTAGTGAAATCCTTAACATTGATGTACAACGGTTAGATAAGTCATATTTATTACCCGAATATTTTGATAGTGAAAACAACCGTCAAATGATACATTTTAAAAATATGTACACTTTTAATAAAATTTAACTAAGACTTAAACAATAAAAAATATTTTATTCTTTATTTTTGTGCGCTGGTTCGGATGGCTTAACAGTTGTATTAAATTAATATAAGAAGAATTTTACCCAGTATAAAAATATTGATAAATACATAATTATAATGTGTAACTTATTACTACACAACTTGTTCTGGTACGACATTGATATTCTATTTAATAAATAGGCTAAGATCCGATGACTCACTTCGGTTAGTAAGCCATTCTGCTTATAATCCATATAAGCCCTCGCGGTAACTCAGTATCAAAACAAAATTAATGAGTTTTAATTATATTTTACAAATAAATATAACACTAAGAAATTAGTCACCGGATCTTGAACTACATAGGTACTATCGTAAACTATTTATCAACCCATATCACCCTGCAATTTCTACCCACAATTTTTTTATATCTTGATATTAAAGTTATTATAATGCAAATATATTATTCTATTAACAATACTTTGAAGTTTAATAGACGATGATGTGACATCACGCAGTTACCATCGAATACTTCTCCCTTGTGTGTTATATTTTAAAATTGCAAGCACGTTTGTATTGTTCTTGTCTATCGTAACAAAGAACTGACTAAGGGGATCAAAATATACAATAAAGAGGTAGCATTAATACAGGCAATATATATGTGCTTAATAAAGGTATTCTAAATAGGTAACAGTAGGATATACAAAACATGAAAAGCATAATTCATAAGATACGAGTGATTCCAATAACACAGTATTTTATATCTAGAACGTCATTGTACTTAGTTCTCAAATATGTAACAGACATAAAGTATGATGTAACGTTATATATTGCTTCATATAGCATGATATGAAAAAATATTGCTTTGGTTTTAAACGAATACCTGTTCGCCGTGAATACGTTTTGACTAAATATTTTGTGTAACAATAGAACTACTAATTTATTTAGGAACTCTACATTCCGATTCAATAACAACTTGGTATATGATTATTATAAATTTTAGGGGTGTAAATAAATTATTTTCAACATAATTAGCGAGGAGCGAAAAAATTGATAATGCAATTTCGTTTTTGGTGTTAAAACGTTAATTTGTAGGGACTTGGATCAAAACAATTCATCCGTGCTAATTATAAGCGATCTTTGATAACTAGACACCAAAATAACAAATGTTTAATAGTGGTAACATAAAAGAGGACGTGGTTTATGGTAATTTTACGGTATTGGAGCATTTTAAAAATAGATACGTATGGATATCTTATTCTAATCTCCGCATTTATTCAGTCTTTCTAACCAACGAATACTGACCCTTGCATTTGGTTCCATTTTCAAATACATTTGATATATATTTCAGCCACGAGCGGTGCCCTCTGTTTGTATGATGTCGTAGTAATTATTAATTGTGTAATTGAAGAGCTGGAAATCATACCTGAAAATTTTATTGAATATAATTATAATCCCATCTAAGGACCTGTAGTGAAAAATAACAGTTTCTCGAATTGTAAGTAATCGCCGGACATTTTACACCTAAACAGAACAGACGAGAATGGACATTTCTTGATAAGCAAAATGACACCTACCTAGATCTATAGATGATAACCTACTCATATATATTTTTTTAATAACGCACTTTTAACAGTTGAAAACATTTTAGATTCTTTGCAGCAGCCGGCAGGCCGCAGTAAATTGTTATAAGTTAACTAATATATTTCGTGTTTAAAACCATTAAAACTATTTTTAGATACTGTCTATAGTTTACGCGAGTAGTACACATTTAAATAAAACACTTTAACGGTTTAAAACGCGATATATTAGTTAAACTTATTTGAAAATGATTTTTAACTTCGGCCCGACGTTTCGGATGCTTTGCAGCAGCCGTGGTCACGGCTGTTAAAAATCATTTTCAAATAAGTTTAACTAATATATCGCGTTTTAAACCGTTAAAGTGTTTTATTTAAACTATTTTTAGTTAAATTTGCGCTACTCGTGTAAACTATGTATTTTAGTGAGTTATAATCTGTAGTTTACGCGAGCAGCACAAATTTTAATAAAATACTCAATTAGCCAGATTCTTAAAAAGAAGGTTAAAAAAACATATTAAAATAATACAGGGATGTCAATTCAACGTTGGTTTTCAACAAAGCCTTGCTGTTCGTAAAATGAAATTAGGTATATATTCTTACCTATACCTAACCTCTTTTTGTTTTTGAGTATTCGTTAGACTTTTTCTGGTCATCGTATTATTTGCAAAGAAAGATTTATAGAATAGATCATTATTTTACCAGTAATACTTACTTGTACAAGTTATAAAGGCCGTCTAGCTGTGACTTCGTAAGTCTCGAATAAAGATGATTAATGTTATGCAACGTGTTGGTTCCCTTGCCACTGTTCCGCCATTCTGGCTTAATGATGTCTTGAAGCCGCGCCATTTGAATCAAAAACCTTTGGTCTTCCTGCAAAATTCATCAGAACATTTAGCTTTTTATTATAAAAGTAAGAAAGATGGGTCCTTTCTTGAAAATTGCCAAGACATTTTAAAATATAATTAAGATGAGCCTACAGTACCAAATTAGTTTTGGACTGGAATACACAGGTTAAAATTGAAACGCAGATTTCATATCCCGATTTTCCAGACATCCAACATACTTAGAAAAATATGAAAATCATAAAGAATGGCTGGACACAGTGGAAATCAAATTCACGGCCACTGTTAGCCAGATTATTACCACTTGACTGGATTCATACGCGTTTCGTGATTCGAAAATCATACTGTAATAAGTTTTATCACGTTCGAATTTCAAATTTTGTAGCTAGCCAGTTTTTTAATGTCATTTCTAGGATATTATTCACAAATTCGCGTATAATTTGAGAGTTATTTAAGCGAACATAATCAGTTATTCTTTACAGTTGGCAAGTCACATTATAGTGTGTAATTAGTAATCAAGTAAGTACTCATGAATTGAATTGTTTATTTAATATAACATGTTCCTTTAAGAGTGGCGAGAGACGTTTAAAATGCAACTTAAAGAATGTTTCGAAGACGACGATCGAATATGCTCGGTATACATTAAAATTAATTATTGAAAAAGTAATAAGATTTGTTTATACTCGAAAACAGGACAACATCATTACAATTAACATTATAAAAAAGTGAGTACGCTTACTGAAGGCATCAAAAACTAACTGGGGTGAGTCGAGAGAAAGTGTACTAAAGACGTAGACTCGTAAATCTCTGAAAGAACTTCACGTTCTCTTCACCGTTTGTACAAGTAATCGCATTATTAAAAAAAAAAATATCTGCGTAACGGGTAAGTAATAACGCATGTACGTAAAACAAAATTAAAAACAATATTAAATGGAAACTAATGTGTGAATTTATAAAAAGTAGTTTACCATTTACAGTATTGTGTATTTAATAATTTATTTAGTAACATTACGTGCTTATAAAAGTCACTATTACAGATCAAAGGATTTCAATCAGATCTCTACTAATACACAAAGGTGAAGAGTTTGTTTGCTTGACCGCGCTAATTTCAGGAACTACACGTTCGAATGAAAAAAATATTTTTGTATTGATTAGACTATTTATCGAGGAAGCTAGGCTATAAAACAGCACGATGCGACCAATAAGAGCAAAGATAGAGTGGGAAATATGGAAGAAATAGGAAAATTTATTAATCTTTTTTGTTGAATGCGTTGGGAAAACTGTTCAGAACGCAAAAAAATATGTACCTATGAACGAATGATTCCTACTTAAACGCCCACGATATATATTATGTCTTGCAAGTTAATCTTTAACGTTAAAACGCGACGGGACACGGACAACGTCGTTAGTAACAGCTAAATGTACTTTAAAAAGATGAGGATATTTGCAAAAATAAATTATGATGCCCTGAATCATTCTACGAGGACGAAGTCGCTGACACAACTAATCTATTATATACTCGTATTGTAATCTACGCTAGTTTGCGGCAATAAATACACCCACAAATTATGATAGGTACGTTGTAACCTACTGTCAAATTAGATGACACGCCTTATGATTCATACCGAGCCTAAACCTATTTGCTGCCAAGGTAACTACTACGGTCGGAATAAATAAATATTTCGGCAATCATTTGTCAATAGAACGGTAGGCGGTCGGTTTGTTATCATTATTGGATCTATAGAGCCACGCGCTTCTTTGTACTTCACCGTTATTTCATATTACCGACGGTATTACAATGAATGATTCAACAATTAAGTAATAAAGTAGGTATGGATATTTACTTTTTATGACATAAAGGGCACAAAATGAAAATCAAACAGTTTACATATAGCGATTTCTAACCAATAAACACAGTTACCGTGAGTTCAGACACACAATATTTAAAATCAACGCTTATTTTTACAAACATAATAGGGAGAAGTATATACAAATTTAGTTTATATAATAATTGCGTAAAGTCCCGATTTCCCTGGGCACGGGGAGAACACAGTTCTGTGTCCGTTTCACAGTTATGGTTCTTTTACAGGCTTCTGTGCCCTGCCCAACTAAAATAATCTGGGTTTTTTGCGATTCTAATTTCTAAGCCAGGTCATATTTGATTTAAACAAAACTATATACATTAATATTATTTTCTATCGGGGACACCCTTGGCAGGACGGGTGATCAGTCCACGTTATCCGTTGACCATTTCAACCATTTCACCCATTTCCCCATTTCCAAACTATATACATAGTCTCTGAAAAGAAAGCCACTTAACTACGTTGGGACTAATGTCCCGAACCTGATATTCCGTGACTCCTTTAGGGATGAAGTTAGTATATATACCTACTATATTTATAAAGTTATAAGTAATTAAGAATTCTCGAACTGCATTGTAAACAATGCTTTATTGTTAGTAGGACAAAATTGTGTTATTATGCATTATTATTAAAATACCGCAATGCGTCAGTTCCAATAAAATACACTATTTTATCATTTTAATAATAACCTTATGAATTGGTATTTTGACTGAATAAATAAAACACATTTAAACGGTTTAAGAATTGTTTTTTTGTATATAAGACCCGACGTTTTGGATACTTTACAGCAGACGCGATGGGACAGCTAATGTAGTTCGAATTTTAAAACGTTTATTCGATTTTTAAAATTATCCACAACATCACTACACAGTGTAAAACGAAGTCGTTTTTTTCTCTCTATGTGCGCTTAAATTTTTAAAACGACCCATCAGATTTTGATGCGGTTTTTTTTTAAATAGAGAGAGTGATTCAAAATGAAGATTATATAAAATCTTGACAATTTTTCTGTAGTATATTTAGTATCAGTATTTAGCTTGCACTTTAGTGAAGCGGGGCGGGTCGCTAAGGAAAATTATATAATAAAAATACTTACTTTTAAATAAAACACTTTAACGGTTTTAAAACCCATTTTTTTTTTTAACTTTTTTTAAAATTTTTTTTTTCCCCCCCCCCCCCCTTTTGGGGGGTTTCCCCCCCCCCCGCCCCCGGGGGGGGCCCCCCCCCCCCCCCCCCCCCCCCCCCCCCCCCCCCCCCCTTGCATTTTTTTTTTTTTTTTTTTTTTTTTTTTTTTTTTTTTTTTTTTTTTTTTTTTTTTTTTTTTTTTTTTCCCCCCCCCCCCCTCCCCCCTTTTTTAAAAATACTTACGTCAAGGGTTTCAAATTTTAGGATGACATCGAAATTGAACTTGCAGGGCGTGCAGAAGCTCGTATATGGAGTCCAATGCATGTCCAGGGTTCGTTTAGCTTTAGCTTCATCAAGTACATAAGCTACAAACTCTTCGAATACTGGATACCTCTCGTTAGGGGTCGGTTTTGAATCTGTTGGCTATACAATAGAAATAGTAATAAATACAATATATTAAATATAGTATGGATGTATGATACCTGCAAAGTGAGTATATTGGTGACGAATTGCTACTTTAAATAAAACGCGATATTAGTGTGACTTATTTAAACGTTTTCCTTAGTACCGTAGAAGTTAATTTATCCTCAACTGAGAACCGATATTGTTTGCAGCTCAAATTCCTTATTAAATTAACAAATAGGGTTTCTATATTTTACTATAAAAAAGATAAAATCAATGCGTAATAACTTGTGTGTCTTCTAAACTACGAAAAAAGGCAACAGATGGTACACCTACAATTATCTTCCTAATAATAATTCCTTTAATACGACATAATTTATATATCTACCTCTAGATATGTATATCAAATACGTACAGTTTAATTTAACCGTTTTGAGTCGGTTATTTTTTTTTATTATAACCGACACTAAATTATACACACCTTCCTGTACTTCTTGATGATCCTACGCCCCATTTTGTCATGAAACGACTTCGGCCAAGCGTGAACGATTTTGTCATTGTACGCGGAGGCCAACCGCTCTAACGGGTGTCTGACTATTAGGAACGTGATCGAATCCCCCTGCGCTTTCCTAATCATCTCCACGGTGGGCCTCGCGTATCGTTTCCTAGCGAGCTCTAAGGGCACCTCTTTCGTTCTGTTCAGGAACGCCGCGGTGTAGTTCGCCATCAAATTGAAATTGTACATCCAAGACGTTGACGCTGCTTTGAAGATGTTGCACCTGGAAACATACATTAAAGTTAAAACCATTTCATCTATCTAGGATATAGACACGTTCCTTTGTCAGTTTTACTGATTGGATTATTTTGTTCTTTGTCTGTTTCACTGGTCGATTCATCTCCTTCTTTGTATGTTTTATTAATAGATTCTTCTTCTGCTTTGTCTGTAGTACAGATAGGTTCATTTTCTTCTTTCACTGTTTAACTGATCGATTCACCTTCGTCTTCGTCTATTTTACTGATCTATTCATTATGATCATTATAACCACATCTACAGCGTGGTAGATTAACGGTTACTTCTGTTAGCTTATAAATAAAAGGCTGACGATAGTTAATCAGATTTCTGTACTCTGCACGACCGAGTGCGAAGGTTCTGTCTTTTTTAAAAAGTTTGGTAAGTTGTCAATACATTAATAAGAAACGTCTAACTGTCTGTTAATTATCTTAAGTTGAATACGGTTTCTTTAATACGGTGGTACTATTTTTGACATTGAGAAATTCCGTCACATAAAAGTCAAACTACAATAGTATAGTTTAAAATATTTTTAAATAAGATATAACACGTCGGGTGTCACCGAATTTAGTAAAGTGAACGATGACGTAGGTAAACTATATCATATTCGCTTATTCCTAATTGAATATGTCCGTTCTCCTTAAAACAGGAAATTCAATCATAGCTTAGCTTATTTTTTAATGCCAGAAGGTCAATTGAGTGCTATTTATAGGTTCTGAATAATCAATAAGCATTGCGTAACTTCATTTTGTATAGAAGTACGTTACGAAAAACAAAATGCACAATTAAGCTTATTTTAACATAAATATAGATAGGGGAAAGTTAATTTAAAATATATGTACAGATAAAACACATTAACGGTATAAAACGCGAATTAAGTATTGTAGTCTTAATTATTTTAACGCTGGGACATGTATGCAGCAGCTGTGGTCTCACCGTGACCATGCTGTATGCATGGGCCGTAATTACAATAATTACTTAAGAAAGGCTTTAGACTCTGAAACATCACGCTACGACCAAAATTATTCATGTTTGAGAAATTCCGTTGCGTTGTCTGTGAATATGGTTCAAGATACCCAAAAACCATGTATGAAAGAATTATTCCTCTTTAAATTATCTAAATAAATGTCAGCGACAGTAGATATTTGTCTATCTTTTAAAATTAACTTGCAAGAACGACGGAAAGCGTGAGACCTCGCGGGTAACATCTATAACTTATAAAGATAGGGGACGTTTGCAAAAACAAATTTTGATGACTAAAGTAACTATTCTACGCGGACGGAGTCGCTGGCACAGCTAGTGCTTATAAAAGAATTGAAGAAATATTACTTTATGATATACCAACCATATGACATGGTGTTGTCGATTGATCAGGTATTCCCAAGCGTACGCCTTCTGACTAGACTTATCCAGACCGAGTCTGGAACACTCGCTCCGCAAATAATTTCGTCTTGCGTCCATCCTGGCTCCCACTTCCAGAAACTTCTCTCGTGATAGAAGTCCGTCATCGCGTGAGCCGTTCTCAAATACGAACTGAAACAAAACAGTTTGTTTAACGATAGAGAAGGACAGACATGGCATGGGATTCACAGTTCACTTGATGTCAAGAGATGTAACCCAGCCTATAAAATCTAAACAAGATGCGCTGTCAGCCTATTTTGGCTTTGGATATCCGGAAATTCACAGACTGTAACCGAAACGCGATCAAGCTTCTTGGATTTTTCATCTGTGGACGGTGGTTCGTCAGACGGACGGAATTTCTATATTTAATATTCAGACTTCCAGACTAACTCAATATACAATATTTAGGCTACTCGTAGTCATTTTATAATCAACTTATAATATACTATGAGACCGCTAGAGCCAGAGTGGCCTAACTGAATTTTTATAACTTTACTTATTTATATTTTTATACTCTAAAAACGTTAAACTACGAGAGAACGTTAATTGGGCATTTTCATCCTTATTGAAAATCATGCTCTTTGTTATTAGGCCACTCTGTCTCTAGCAGTTCCAAATAATAATATACCACAGCCAACTCAACGTGTATTGTACAATACCCTATAGGTAGATACCTACTTAATTTATTTGGGAATGTTAACGAATTATATTGTAATGAATTAGAAAATGATTTCATTTTTAAGACTTCGTGCTGAAGTAAACTATGTCAGTGAAAGCTATTTACTGTAGCATGAAAGTGAAACATACAAACATAATGGCTGTACAAGAATGCAGACGAAATTCAAAATAAAGCGTACATGCTTAAAAACAAGAAAAATATTAAATCCCAAAAGTGTTTATTTTCTGTAAAAGAACTGATCACAGCCGTGGTCTTGGGGGCACGACATATACGACAAGCCATATTTAAAGTAAATTGAAAATAATTTAAATAAAACATTTTAACGGTTTATAACGCGATATATATTATAGTTAACTAAATTCTAAAATTCTAACTACGACCCGTCGTTTCGGATGCTCACCGGACCGTTAAAGAGTGTTATTCAAATGTGTACTACTCGCGTAGTTTACGCGACAGACTATTCAATTGTAGATAAGTTAACTTTTATATTTCTCGTTTAAAACCGTTAAAATCGTTTTATTTAAATGTGCCTATTCACGCAACTGCAGACCATAAGGAGGCAATATAGATTGATTATTTAGTGTCGATAACATTTCTACAAGTGTACTTACAATAATTAAATTGTTTAAGTAAAAATTTAATACAAAACATCAATTTAATTTACGTTCCACACTCGTGTAAATTGATGATTAAACACGTTCCACGCCTCGACCCTTATTAATTGATACTTTTTACTTTTGTCGAATTAATTTAATTAACCCAGCCCAGTACAATATAGGCTACATGTTTCAGATAAGACCAGGGTCACGCGAAATACTCGTACGCATAATTCCCAGTCTTTTCCTCATAAGCTAATAAAACTGTTGGGTATTATACATATAACACTAGCTATCTTAGCGACTTCGTCCGCGTACAATAGTTATTTTGTTCGTCAAAATTTGTTTTTGAAAATCACCTACGACGTTGTTCGCATCCCGTCGTTCTTGCAGGTTGAAGATAGAAAATTATTTAAATTTTTAGGTTTCCGTTGCTCACGCTGTGTAAACGATTAAAGATACCCAAAAAAAAAAATATTTCATTATAAACATATTCTACCGTTACAGAACAATATCCATTGCGATAGAATTATTGTATACATATTTCATGGAGTGATGTTTTTAAATACTGTCTATAGTTTACGCGAGTAGTACACATTTAAATAAAACACTTTAACGGTTTAAAACGCGATATATTAGTTAAACTTATTTGAAAATGATTTTTAACTTCGGCCCGACGTTTCGGATGCTTTGTAGCAGCCGTGGTCACGGGGAGACGTCGGGCCGAAGTTAAAAATCATTTTCAAATAAGTTTAACTAATATATCGCGTTTTAAACCGTTAAAGTGTTTTATTTAAAAAAGTGATGTTTTTGTCAATTTGCCCAAGCCACATTTAAAAATGTCAGTCCCCTCCAGCAGCTTGTTGATAACACGCAAAGCACGAATAAGAGGAGATATCATCAGAAAATTAGTGCGTGATGACATATAAAAGAATGATTTTTCTTTAAATTATCAAAAAAAAATCCGATACACTATACAGTGTATCTATCTTTTAAGATTAATTTGCGAGATCGACAGCACGCGGCCTATGCCGTGGGTCACAGCTTAAATGTCTAGAGATGAAAAGAAACTTTGCAAAATCAATTTTGGATACCTAAAACAACTATTCCACGCGGAGAATATATTGTAATTTAGATAATGCTTCATGTGCAATAATGTGGAAAGTTTTAATACATATAAGTACATTCCCAGTTTACAAACAAAATAATCAGTCGCCGGTTACAGAAAAAACCCATGTGTATATGTTATTTCAGATCATTGTTATTCTCAACACGAAACATTGGTCGACATGCAATACACATTATTCTCATTTTAAATAGATTCATGTACAAATAAAGATAATATAGCATTACCAACCTCAATTTATAGATTATACTAGCTGTGCCCGCGACTTCGTCCGCGTGCAATTGTGACTTGGGGTAGAATTCTTAATTATTAAGGCTGTTTATTAATTTATGTAAGGGTGCATAAGGCAGCCAATCTATGTTGTAAGTGCTACTTTGCCGTAACACTCTCACATCACATCACTCCGACTCTAACTCCCACTCTCATCCTACACTCACTCGACTCCTATTCCCAAAAAGCCAATGAAGAAAGTTTCATTTTCAAGTTTCATAGCTTCAAAAACCACGAATTTCCATGCTAACTTTCATCCCCCTTTTCAGTCCCATTCGACCCTTTTTTGGCATTAAAAAGTAACCTATGTCCTTTCTCAGGCTTTAAAATATCTGTGTACCAAATTTCATTTAAATCAGATAGAGTTACTATTGCTTTTATAATATTAGTAAGGATAAAAGAGTATTTACTGATAGGGAATACCAAGAGTAAACATAATTCAATGACTAGAAACAATCTATATCTATACTATAGGCCTAGTCTAGCCGCGTGACACAGGGAATCCTAGTGTGAGGGGATAGTACACCCTAAGACAAAATGTAAACAATTTTATAGAAATAAAGAATTTGTTTTTATAAAGCTGAAGTGTTTGTTTGTTTAAACGCGCTAATCTCAGGAACTACTGGTTCGAATTGAAACATTCTTTTTGTGTTGGTAAGAGTAATTATCGATTGAGACAACGAAACGACGAAGACGCGACCAGTTAATAATAATATTAATATAATGTAGACGTGTTAGTAATATTCAGCTATTTGAACGACATTGTTACGCGAATTTAATTACGGATTTTCTAGCCACAAAGATCAAAGTGAAGGCTGTGCAGTTATGTGCATCGTTGCCTTGACTAGAAATACCTGCGATGTTCTAGGTTGTTATTAATTGGTTCACAGCGTAATTTATTTATTCTGTTATGAATAATGGAAGTGGGTTTGGCCGTGAATGGGCTTATTTCTTTACATTTTATAGGTTAAATAATGCGTCATGTATACTGTACAATGAACCAAAATATTTTTATTTTTATCACATTTCTATCAAATAACTCTAAATGGTTTAAAACGCGACCAATATTAGTCAATCAATTAAGGGAACGAAACCAAAAGGTCGAGTCACATTCAAGTAGTAATGAACAGAAGTAATATTTTAAAATTACAACACTAGTACTGTTTTGTCTGAACCTCTCCACCATTAAAAAAATCTACCCGTATGTAATGTTTAAGTAATCAATAAGTATTATACTCGTATTAATTATTAGTCAATATATATATATATATATATAATATTAACAGATGATCGGCGACTGTTCATTTTGATGGTAAGGACTCTCTCCACTCGTCAGTCGTAGCGATAAAAGTAAAAGACATGAAATATGCTCGCCAAACGGCGAGTACTTGGCGGTTCAAACGAAAAATAGGTCCTAGATTTAAAAAAAATCAGACACGGGCGGCTCTACAGAAATTACTATTACTAATTAACATTTAAATGAATACTTGAAAACTTTTATATTTTTCACATTTATTCACATGATAGCATTATGTAACTTAAAATCAATAAGGTTAGATTGCTCTAATTGATTGAGCTACCGCGTCCTACACGTCATCATTGAATAAACCGCCTTAATTTTTGCGTATTAGGTTGATTTTTTTATTGGTTGGAGCATCACCAAGGAACGCTGTGGATACAAGGTTGCCCGTGTCGGTGGGTTCTTTGAGCTAAAATCGCTTTTTAATTTATATAATGCCATCATGTGAAAAATATTTAAGTTTTCAAATACTAACTAACTCACAGAGTACCGTCAGTATAACAGCAAAACCCAAAAAAGGGACAACATCGGTAAACCCCAAATCCAAAGTTGTCACTGTTAGTAAACAAAGGAAGAAGGAAAGGGAAGGGGAAGAGGAAAGGGAAAAAGAAAGGAAGATGGAGAAGGAGAAGGAAAGGAATAAAGAAGGAAAAAATGGAGCTAATGGAGCGGATAGTATTCAAGCAGTGAAAAACAAGCGAGGCAAGTACAACAGCAGCGTAAAGCAAGGAGATAACACGGGTATTTTAGATATCGAAGGAGCCAAGCGTAAAAAAATTCTTGCATATATGGCGGTTGAAGAAGGAGACTACAGTGGAGAGTTTGGAAAAATATGTGAAGAAGATTTATAAGAAAGAAGTTTCTGTAACGGTGGAAAAATTAAATCATAAAACGGAAAGAGATTATGCATCTTTTGTCATAGGGGTCCTAGAAAGTGATTATGAACAATTAACCAAGCCCGAAAACTGGCCACTTAACGTACAATTTTGTGACTGGCGGTGGTTTCGGAGACCCCTTAAAAGCTCCAAGGATAGCAAGTAGACCAATAGAGATTGTATATCAGAATGTGAGAGGCTTGCGAACAAAACTGCATGATTGCTTTGCAAGTATTTCAACAATGCCCGTCGACCTCTTTGCTATTACGGAAACTGGCTGCAACGG